GACCACCTCTACAGCTGAGCTGTTGATGAGCAGTGGAGCGTGGTTAGGCCGCTTCTTCCTGAAGTCCACCAGCATCTCCTTGGTCTTCTCCACCTTCAGGATCAGGCTGTTATCTCTGCACCAGTGAGGTCTGTTGGTGATGAAGTCTAGCAGCCAATAGCAGAGGGGTGTATTAAAGCCCAGCTGTTCCAGTTTGCCCATCAGATCATTTCCACCTGGTTCCTCTGGTATTTAGGTTGTGTGTTTGCCTCCCATCAGCGGCAGGTTATTCGAGCGTTTTGGTGAGACGTATTCTAGGTTTCTTTAGTCTGTTCTGTTTTCCTGATTATGACCAGTTTCTGCCCTGAGGATCTCCAGTTCTGCCTTGCCCCTGTCTGCTCTGTTGGTCTTATCTGATCCTGGACTCTACCGGCTTCTGAACCTGGACCTGTCTGCTGACTCAGTTGCTGCTCTGCATCGGCTGGCGCCCGCTCCGCTCGCTCTCTAGCAACTCTGGGGGCGTCGCTCGTCAAACCTCCCGTCTGGATTCTGCTGAACGGACTGAACTTTGAATCAGGTCAGTGACTTTGCTCCAAGTCGTATTCCGCTCCACATCCAGTCACTGACCTGTATTCTACCTCTGTAGAGCTCCTGTTAGTTTTAATCAACGCCTTGAACTTTCCCACTGCCTGTCTCACCTTGAATTCTGGGTCCAACATCCTGAGATCATTACAGAAAACCTCTTCTTTCTGTAACTTTGTATCGTCCACCAGGTCCTTACTCTGAATCCTTAGATGAGTTTTCAGAGTTCCTTTCTGATTTGGTATTAAATACTAACAGGGTCATCATAGTGGGAGATTTTAACATCCATGCTGACAGTGAATAGGAATAAGGTAGGAATGTATTTATTTCAGACAATTAGACAAACAGCAAAGCATGAATCAACCAATTACACCCAAAGAGACTAGTTAACACAAACCAAATCAAACACCAAATTAAAAACTAACTGAATTCACCTGAAAATTAATAGAAACAAAACCCCCAACCAGATAAACCAGTCGGTATAAACAGCCAGAAAAACGACATCCATTACTGGAAATGGTCTGAAAAGAGGAACGAAGAAGCAAAACTTATTTTAATACGCCTCCCATCTGATTGCACTTAAATA